GTGTTAGGCAAGCACTCTATCACTGAGCTATAACCCCATCCCTGTATTTGTCTTTTTTTTTGTTTGTTTGTTAATATACAGAAATATAACTGATTGTGTACTGACGTTGTATTATATCCAATACCTTGTAACATCCATATTAATTTTTCTAATGGTTTACAGATTGTTTTGGATATACTAGGTACATGTATATTTTGCAAATAAAGATAAAAGCTTTAAGTCTTCCTCTTCAATTCTCATATCTATTCTTTTTGGGAAGAACCTTTTCATACAGCACTTTTTTTTTTTTGGTACCAGGGATTGAACTCAGGGGCACTTGACCAATTGAGCCACATCCCTAGCACTTTTTAAATATTTTATTCAGAGACAGGGTCTCACTGAGTTGCTTTGCACTGTGCTTTTGCTGAAGCTGGCCTCAAATGTGCAATCTCCTGCCTCAGACCCCAAATTGCTAGGATTACAAGCATGTACCACTATGCTAAGCTTGTTGTCAATTTTTTATACAGCTCAGGGAATAGCCAAAGATGTCAAGGGTCCAAATTATTAATTAAAACATTATAGGCACCTTTATTTTAAAAAATGAAGTAAGACATTAAGTTGACATGGTGACATGTGCTTATAATCTCAACTACTTAGGAGGTAGGAGGCAGGAAGATTGCAAGTTTGAAGCCTGCCTCAGCAAAGTAGTGAGACCCTGTTTCAAAACAATAAATAAAAGGGACTGGGTGTAGACAGCTCAGTAGTGGAGCACTGGGCTAGCATGTATGAGACCCTCAAAAATTTTAAAAATATTTATTCTTATAGACTAATTAACATAAAGATAAATTTTTCATTTTGCTATAATGTACAAAGATAAGTTAATTTTTTAAGAAAAACTTGCTTCTGAAAATAGTTTTGCGTAGAATTTTCTTTTTTTGCGGTACTGGGGATTAAACCTAAGGCCCCACACATGCTAGGTAAACTCTTTCTTCCTGTGAGCTACATCTCTAGCCCTTTTAGTTTTACTTTGATATAGAATCTCACTAAGTTGACCAGGCTGGCCTTGAGCTTATGACCCTTCTGTCTCAGATTTCCAAGTAGCTGGGACTTCAGGAATGTACCACCATGCCCAACCATTACTTTTCTAAGACTAGTAGCAATAAAATATTTTGTGGGTCAAAATGTTATATGATTTTAGTTATTTTAAATGACATCTTTTATTTTCAGGAATGTATCAGAAATGACAAGTGATCACTCTTTTAATTCTACATCAAATTACAGTTATCCCTTGGTATCCATACAAAATAAGTGCATGCAATATCCTTAGCTAAAATGAAATTGGGAGTCAGGGATGTAGCTAAGTGGGGAATGCTTGCCTAGCATGCACCAAGCCCTGGGTTTAAAGTCCAGCACCACAAAGCAAAATAAAACAAATAAAAAAAGTAGTATTTGAATATAACCTATATGCATCCTCCTGTATTCTTTAAAACATTTCTAAATTGCTAATCATACCTAATATAATTGTTTAGGGAAGAATCACAAGAAAAATATATCTAATGCAAATAATTTTTAAAAATATATATTTTTGATCCAGTTGGTTGAATGGATGGGTGTAGAACCCCGGGATGTGGAGGGCCAAATGAATACTATATCATTACTGATGTAACACCAACCAAGAATTGAGGTGAATTTTCAAACAACTTTTTGGTCAATTTAGAAAAGTTACTTCTGTCTGTGGATCAGCAGAGATAAACAAAAATTGTGTTGGGACACAGAAGTGGGGCTACTGGCCAGGTTTACTCCCTGTTCTAGCATAAACATATCCAATGACCGAAGGCTGAAATTCATTCCTTTCAAAATAACATATTAATATAAGAGACAGATTAGGATCCCTTAATAGTGAAAACTGTAAGTATAAAATTCTCAAGTGCAAATTAACAAAAATCAAGAATCTTCATTTAGAAACTATTGTATGCCAGGTATTATGGTAGGCTACCAATAATTTTGTGGGTAGCATTTCCCCTGTTTTATGAAAGAGAACTCTGAGGCCTGGAAAATATCATTTTCCTGAAAGAACTGGGACTCCTACCACTGTGGAAATCAGGGTAGCAGGGATTCTTTCTTAAGAATTTAAACTTTGAATATTTTTTTACAAGGAAGGTTTCATTTTTTGATCTCTTGGATTAGAAATTCTCACATTTCCATAAATGGAGAATACGGGAAGAGAGAACAAAGAAATAATGAAACTTGTTTTTTTTTCTTGTCAATATCATTTCAACTCTACTAACAAATTTAATACCAAAAAATTAAGTGACATTAACATCTGGTAATGTGCTTTACCTTTTCTTCCAGCATTCTGCACATGCCATCTTACTACTCTTTAGCCTCCAGAACAATAAAACATTTAAATAACAACAACAACAACAAAAATAGGCCAGTTATTTATTTTATTGTGGCTTCCTTATATGTGAGCCTTTTTTCTGGGGGGGGCCACTGGGGTTTGAACCCAGGGGCACTTTTGTCACTGAGCTACATTGTTAATATTTTCTTTTCCTTTATTTTTTATTTGTGGGTCTCAAACTTGCAATCTTCCCTTCTCAGCTGTCAGAGCTGCTGGGATTACTGGTGCATGCCACCACATCCACATGATTCTATTTTATAATTTAGACCTCTTTATTGATTTTATATATTTGGAAAGTCACCATAATCAGAATTTTATCTTTTAAAAAAAATTCATTTATTTTTTATGCTAGGGATCAAACCCAGGAGCATTCTACCTCTGGCCTGTATTTCCTGCCATTTTTATTTTATTTTGAGGCAGAGTCTCATTAAATTACCATATTGGTTTCAAATTAAGTAGCTGGGATTACAGGCATGTGCTCAGAAATTTTAATCTTTAAAGCAAAGAATTAAAAAAAAAAAAGAATTTTCCTTTAGTTCTTTGAACTAAATAACTACTTTGAAATTCACGCCTCTAAGAACCAATATTTTGGAACCCCTTGAAGGTTTCTATTGCATTCTTCTTTTTCTTTTTTTTCAGGCTTATTTGTGTATTTCATGATTTTTTGGTTGAAAACTGAAATTTTAGATAACATGGTGTAGCAACTCTGAATTCTGATCCTGCTTCTAGCTTGTTGTTGGCTCTTTTTGTTTGTTCACTGACTCGAATTGAATAATCCTATAGTCTGCTTTGCCTAGCAGTGTGTAGCCACTGATGCCACTGCTCAGTTTTTTGTTTTGTGTGATCTTTTTAAGTCTTGTTTTCTGGAAGGCTACCTACTGGTCAGCATAGCTTAGCTGTCAGCCAGTTATAGGTCAGAGGTTTTGCTTAAATTATCTAAGCCAATAGGCTTCTGTTCTTTGCCATAAGATCTATGTGAGGTTTGGGGAAATGCTAAATTTAGTGAGTTTACCAGTTTACTATGTGTTTTGCCAGGGTCTAGCAGCTTACAAAGGCCCCTTTGTCTTCTCTCTAAAGCAGGTATAGCTTGGCACACACATGTAAATTTCCAGTCCACAAAAGTGTGATCTTAGTAGGGCTACTCTAGCTATATATGTCCCTGGATTTCCCTGATAAAGTTCTGGCTGGTTGGCCTTCTTATTGCTTCTTAAAACAATAACTGCCAGATTGCTAATAAGTCATCTATTGTTTTCAACAATATCCTGGACATGGATCTTCTCCAAGATCTGGTCTATGTTCTCTCTGACCATATAAATTAATCTGCCCTACTAGGATTTTATTTCCTTCCTTTTTTTCCCTTCCTCCCTCCCTACAACAGAGCTACCAGTCCTTGTGGCTTACCCTGCTATGCAGGATAGAACCTGAGGGACCTCAGAGGTGGGAAAGGGATGGCAGCAGCTCCTGACTACAATGTCACAGACTGTCACTGATCTCATTAAAAGTTAGGAGCTCTGTTTGAAAAAAAAGGTCTCTCAATTCGTGTTTTTTGGTTAATTTCCAAAGACAAATAAATTTTTTTCTTTTCTTTCTCTTTGCAGTTCTGGGGAATGAACTCAGGCAAGCTACTACTGAGCTACATATCAGCTCTTTTTATTGTTTTATTTTGAGACAGGGGACTAAGTTGCTAAGTCTAGCCTCACACTTGTGATTCTCCTGCCTCAGCCTCCAGAGTTGTGAGGATTACAGGGATGTACCACCATGTCTGGCTGGTTTTTAAACCAGTCTATTTCGGGGAGAAGATTAGCCAAATTCCTACTCAGGCATTCCAAAAGTGCTGATTCCACTTTTTTTTCTTCTTTCTAGTACTAGGATTGACCAGGGCCTTGTGTACATTCTACCATTGAGCTACATCCCCATCCCTTTTTTATTTATTTTGAGACAGGGTCCCCTGAAGTTTCTGAGGCTAGTCTCAAATCTATGACGTTCCTGCTTCAATCTCTGGAGTTGTGGGGATTATAGGAGTGCACCACTACACCTAGTCTGTTTCTACATTTTATTTTGAATGATTTTATCCCCCTTATAATGTTCTAAGGTTCACTAACAAATACTAAATAGAACCATTTACTGAACTTTTAAGTTCCCACCAAGCAGACAGGACTAATCCAATGAAAGTCTGGAACCACTGAAAAAAACACTTTACCCAAATTGAGACCAGATGTGGGCTTCAACATTTTCAGAATTCCTCAATATTATTAGAATGTATTATTTTCTTGATTTACTTTTTATTATTGTCTAGATTTTATGTTTTTTTTTTTTTTGTACCAGGGATTAAACCCAGGGGTGCTTAACCACTGAGCCACATCCCCATTTTCATTTTTCATTTGAGATTTTGAGATATGGGCTTACTAAATTCCTTAGGGCCTCACTAAGTTGCTGAGGCTGGCTCTGAATTTGCAATGCTCCTGCCTCAGCTTCCACAGCGGCTGGGATCATAGGCATGCACTAACGCACCTGGCTCTATATTTACTTTTAAAGATTAGGTAAAATAGGTCCCTAGACAAGAGCAAGATTAGGGGCTAAATAAAAGATGAATGTTCAGAAAGGCCTGACGTCACCCTACCTGGGCTCGCTCCTCATCAAACTCCAGGCATCCCATACCATCCAGTCTCTGAAGATCAATCCAGCCTTTCCAGATAACACAGACTCCATTCAGAATCATGGGAGCCTTCAAATACACCTAAGACATAGAAAAGAAGAATGAAAACCACTAAAAAACTATCAGATGTGTGAACATTAAAAGTTTAAGCTTATTTATAACAATCCATAGTTTTCTTTAAAAAATACACACACCACAGTCTCTGACATATTCTATAAATTAATCTGCCCTACTAGGATTTTATTTCCTTCCTTTTCCCCCTTCCTCCCTCTCTACCTACTTCTTCCTTTTCCTTTTCTTTCCCCTTTCTTCCTTTCATAGTGCTGGGGATCAAACTCAATGATAGGCAAGTGCTCTACCATTAAGTTATATCCTCAGACATAGGATTTTATTTCTAGTCACAATTTTCCAGATTATTTTAAAAAGAAAATTATATAGGATTTGTAAAAACTGTTTGTAATAAGGTGATGCTTGAAGAATGTTTCTTTACTCTTCCAGTTAAGGCTAGGACACCAGATTCTTTGTCCTGATGTTCTTCTGATTTTGCATAGAAAGATATAAAGAGGGAAAACAACTGGAACTCACTATCCTCTGATTAGAGCATGTACTGCTTCCTTCAACTTCAATACCTGTAGCCAGGCACGGTTCAACTCTTCATATTTCCTTTAGTTTTATAAGTTACTGCACAGCTTCCTGATAATTAATCCTGTTTTTCTCTTGCAAGGTATTATCTCTTCAAAGGAATTTAATTTAAACTGTTTAACAATCATTAAAATACACCAGGAAATGTATTAGGTCACAGCTGTGAACTAATGTAAAATCAATAATTTTCCCAGAAATCAATAAATTAACCCAAAATCTAGTTATTTCAACTCACTGTTAAAATTATTATGCACTATCCATCAATAAATTAAAACATAATAAAAACTTAAGAATAAAAAACCAAACATTCTGAATTCTCAATAAGTGGGAATACTGTGATAAACATTAAACTTTATCAGAAAACTCCTATATCCTTAAGCTTTGGAATTAATTGAAGTTTTAAAGTTTTAAGCTTTCTTCTTCAAAAAATAACCAAGTTCTTCACCATTCCTAGAGTAAAACTCACTTTAAGACTTCCAAATTCATATTATTTTCAATCACCAAATTAACTTTCATACTGACTCATTCCTGTCAGGCATGGTGGTACCCCACCTATAGTCTCAGCTACTTGGGAGACTAAACCAAGGAAAATCACTTAAGCTTAGAAATTGGAGACCAGTCTAGCCAACAGAAAAAGACCTCATATCAAAAAAAAAAAAAAAAAAAAAAAGGGTAATTAGGATGGTGCTAATGCTACCTTGAAGTGAATATTTTACTATGATACAGATACAGATAAGAACTTTAAGAGAATTATTACACTTCCTACAATCTCCTCTACCCTAACAATACACTTTAACAGTTATTTTTTTAAAAACATCATTTTAGATCCTCACTACCTTATTTAATATGGGCTTCTGAATGAAAATTAGCATAGATTTTAATCATTTACTGCCTTGCTAAGATATTTTAAATGCAGAAGAAGCAGTACCTAAATGATACTCAAAACTCCAGGTAATCAAATACATCTTTAGAAACAAAGTTTTTTTATTACCTATGGATAAGTTCACTTATCCAAATGTACTTTCTCTGGATAATTTCAGTGCTCTGCAAGCTACTATGAGTACAGAAAATTGGTAAGACAGTTTCTCATTTTGGGGGGAAAAAAAGGTTGGAAGCATAATTTTGTTCTTTACTTAATTCAGCAGGGTTTTTGTTCTGTTTTGTTTTGGTACTAGGGATTGAACCCAGGGGTACTTAACCAATGAACCACATCCCAGCCCTTTTTATGTTTTTTTAGAGACAGGGTCTCACTGAGTTGCTTACTGCCTAAACTAAGCTGCTGAGGCTGGCTCTGAACTCACGATCTTCCTGCCTCAGTCTCCTGAGTCACTGAGATTACTTAGCAGTTTTCTTCACAAAGATTCTTGCATCCTTCTTGTTTTGAAAGATGCTCAATAAGAACTGACTTCCAATAATTACAAATATGCTAGAAAATTTGTTCCTGGGACATCTGTAATATAAAATCTATAGGACTCCTACTACATATACATTTATGTCACTTCCCTACACTGCTAAACACAACCATTTTTGTTAAGGGTTTCAAGAAACCATGATGAACCAATTTCAACTTGCAATAGGAAAAAAACCTCATCAAACCTAAGGTTCCATTTCTCCTCTCAATTGGATGAAGGGAAATAGTCTACAGTTAAGAGCTGAAACCGTTTAACCACATATTTCCTTCTTGTTCTGATAAGTGTTCATGCCCTTCCACACTGTGAATTTAAAACTCCATCTATGTGCATCTAGTCATATGAGTAACTATGCTGACTGACCTATGTTTAATACCTCACAAAATTATCCTACTATTCTTCACATCAATATAACTCAACTCACCACATCTGAAATGAAGATTTCCTCCTACCCTTAAATGGCACATAGTGGAGAGTAGAACATCTCACCTATAAGTGAGCACCTATTTTAAAGTTTTATACGAATCATGAAAAGAATTCATCTAATAGCTAAGTCATCTTTAATACCACTTTAATCAAGATTTTATATTCTTCAAAAATGGTTTACATCTTTCAGAACTCAAAATGCCATAATCTCTTAGCTTATTCATATTAATTTTCACAAACATATTTTCCTTATAAAAATACTAAATTTTTTAAAAACCCATTTATTACTTCTTTATAAATGTTCTCTCATGACAAAGAAAACCACTGATTTGTTTTGAGAAATTCCTAAATGGCTTTAGAAAATGCCTACATTTCTTAATAAAACTAGTTTCTAAAATCCTAATTAAAAAGAACATTTAGATGTTCCTGGTGATTTATTTAGATGTTCATATTCAAATAAATACAGTCTTATATGTAAATCTTCAAAGTAAATGGTGCTTTTATACATTCATGAATACCAAGCCTCAAAGTATGAAGAACATATAATTCTGACTCTTAATAGTTTGATATTTTGTAACATAATTCAATAATGTTATTTAAACACAAAGACATTTTACACTTAAAATGATGATGACTTATTTCATTCAAAACTTCAGAAAAAAATATTAAATATGACCCATGAATTAAACCCATTATTCTAGAACAATTAAATATTTTTTCCTACAAAATGGATTTTATAAAGCTATTTTAAAATGGGTAAATAGATGCAGCTAATCTCAAGAAAATAACAAAATAGCTTATCTTTCCAAAAGTTAAATATCACAGAATGTGTGTGAGATTTCACAGGTTAAAACTAATTATAGCTTCACATTGTGTATTTTTTTTAAGAAAAGGTAAATGTTAAACAAAATTAATACATTCAAGATCTAAATTATCAGTTTTGTGATATTCTACCTAAATTATATATGCTATCATTTGATTTTCATATTTTGTATCTTCAAATTCCCTATCACTCAAGCAGTACAGGGTCATCAAAAACATGTTTGTACCATCAACTCTAGTACTGATATAATGAAACACTTGGTTAAAAAAAGGAAACAAGTATTAATGCTTACTATCATAAAGAAACCTTAAAAACATCATATTAAGTTCAAGAGGCCAGGAAAAGGACACATTTTATGAAATGTCCAGAACAGGCAGATACAGAGACAGAAAGGAAATTAGTGGTTGCTAGGGGCTGAGGAGAGAGGGGAGCTAGGAATGACTGCTAATGTGTATGAGAATTCTTTTGTGGGTGATGAAAATATTCTGGAATTAGTTATGATAGCTGCACATCTCTGAATATACTAAAAACCACTGAGCTGTATACTTTTAGACTGAACCTTATGGTATGTGGATATCTCAATGAAGTTGTCATAATAAATGTTTGTAACAATTTTTATCTGTTATGTAAGTGACATATGAGATATCAAAAGGAGATTCCAAGTAGGCAGTAGCATATGGGATTTTAGCACTTTGAGAAATCTCAGATGATATTACAAATCTAGCAGCCACCAACAATATTGTATATTTGAAACTGAAGAGAAGGAAGAAGAGATTCCCCCAGGAGTAAATGGGGGAAAAAAAAAAAAAAGAGAAGGACCCAGAAAGAACCTGCAGAGAAGTCCAACTTTTTGATGTTAGGTAGAAAAAAAGAACCCTGTAGATGGAGCTATGAACAGACAGGGGGGTTAAAAGAAAACAGGTCAGGAGCCCAGTGGCTAAAGGTTAAGTTATAGATCCCCAAGTAAAAAACTTCCCCTTTGTTGGCTGAATCAGATATCTTAAGTATGTTACAGGATCTTGGATCACTCAACTTCTCTCAAAATTCTGTGTAAAAATGTATGTTGAGTCTACGTACATTTTTCTAAGGAAGACTACTGGTTTCATTATTCTTATACAGGTGTGCAAAGCAAAAATAATCCAATCATTATAGTAAAAACTCCATTCTTTCCCTCCCCTCATAGACAAACACAAAGATCTTTCTAGTACAGGGCTTGATGGATGATAAATAACCTTAATTTAGTAAATGGAACAAACTCACCTTCCACTCTTATACACAAACCTCAGGGACTGAACCCAGGGGACACCTGATCACTAACTTACACCACCAGCCTTTTAATTTTTTTTTTTATTTTGAAGCAGGGTCTTGCTAAATTGCCCAACCTAGCCTCAAACTTATAATTTTCCTGCCTCAACCTCCCAAGCAGTGGGCTACAGCCTCCAAACTTTTTTTTTAAAGATTTTTTTTACAACACCTTTATTCTTTTTATTTATTTTTATGTGGTGTTAAGGATCAAACTCAAGTCTCACACATACTAGGCAAGCACTCTACTACTGAGCTACAGCCTCAGCCCATCCAAACTATTTTAAGAGCTAACAATTAGTAACCCTGTTTTGAAAAGGAAGGGTATGAGAAAAACTACTCAACTTCTCATTTATTCACCCAACAGTTCCTTCTTTGAAATCTTGTTCAAAGAATATCTAAATATGGAATAAGTAGTGGCAACCTCAACTGTCTTTTCCTCTACAAATATATATTTATAGAAAAGAACAGGATTTCTG